CCGGAGGGGGGGGGGCTGCAACTTCGCCCCGAAAAACGGGCTGCGGGAGGCCAACAAGTAATAAAAGAGCGAGCCAGGTGGAAGAAATGGGCAGCTAAGCTTTGACCCAAGGCCTGGGGCTCCAATTCACCGCAGCTAAGAATTTCAAAATGGCGCCCGACCACGATGCGGAGCCAAAATGGCGGCCGCAAGCTGAACCGTCGGGACACCTTCGGGACGGAAGGGAGGGCTTTGCTGGTCAGCTCAGCGCCTAGGGCCCTAGGGGCGATGACCCTCCCGATCGGTGTTTAAGGTGGGGGGGAATCCAGCTGTAAAGAAAACGCGTGCCACAAGGCAACGCGGAGGCAGCGAAGCGATCTGATAAGGGTGGGGGGGGGTCGCGCTATCGCGCTGCGAGCCCGCAGCTTTGCCCCAAGGACGGGGGAATTTTTCCCTTAAGTCCAGACCCTTTGCGCAGGAGGAGGAAGGAAAGGCAAACCTTATGAAGACGAAGTTGGAATAGGCAAGAAATAGGCAAGAAAAGTACGATCAGCCAAGGAGCTCTCTGAAAACACAGCCTGACTCTTCGAGGCTGAGCAAAAGACTGGGGAGACGCTGCGCGATACCACGTGAGGGGGCGGAGCGTTTCCTCATCTAAAGCTCAGCCTGCAAGAAGAGGACTCAGAAGCACATCCCAGTCTCTGGATGCTCCGAGCGGCTCGAGGGAGAAACAGGGTACCTTCTTTCATATGTGGTGGTGATGCCCCGAAACTAGAAAATATTGGGTAAAGATAAGAAATTGGTTACAGGAAATAACAGGTATTCAAATTAAGCTTAAACCCAAACTTTTTTTATTAGGAATAATAAAGAGAATTTAGTAAAAAGGCTAAATATATTATACTGCATATAGTGACAGCGGCTAGAATTGCCTTTGCACAAAGTTGGAAATTGGATAACACTCCTTCCGAGGGAATGGTAATAAAGGAAGTGTTGGACTGTGCAGAGATTGTTTTAGAGTTGAAAGACAGAGAAGAATCAGAATATTATGCAGGATAAATGGTATAGATGGTTAGATAATAGAAATAAGGATTAAAAGTATATATGCATGTAAATATATGTGTAACATCAATGTCACAGTGTTGTAAAGAATGTAAGAGATTTGTATTCTTGGGAAAAAATGTAATAATAAATAAAATCCTGACTTCACATTTTCAAAGTTTTAGTAAGAACTTCTATAAAGGAGGTGCTCTGATACACTAAAAAGCAGTTACAATGATGGAAGAAGATGAGGTTAATGTGCTCATATTCATTTGACTCTTCCATATAAAGGCTATACACTTCTGAATGCCTGAACACAGTAGCCATAATATTGTACTAGTT